CATAATCAACCGCAATATAATTGCTCTTATTCTATGCATGCACCAATGTATCTGTCATAGCATTTGTTATGAGCAACGCAACTTGCACCATAGTGGCCAATATTGAGTAATGAGTATTGCTTTGTGGGCTATAATATCAAAGCAAATATGTTCCTACCAATAACTATTTTTTTCCTCAAATCTTTCGGTGGTCTTTTCGATTTACCGAAACGCTGGGAAAGATGGTGTACATCTTCAGTCACTCGTTTCAAAAATGACCACAGTACACAAGTCTACATCACTTGATAAAGATAACTTCGCCTAAATCATAGCGATAGCCTAAGTGGTGAATGACAGTTTAATGGATCAGGTGTAGGGCATATAAAGGTACAAGTAGTGTCAGATCCATGAATAATATTGCATGGGATCCTACAGTAAAAGTTAAAAAATAAAATAATTGGATAGCGCCTAGTGTGAAAATCTATTCCAAGATTAGTGATTTTTGTTAACATGGACCTCTGTTATTCAGACATTTCATTGAGTACTTATTATGTATATAGATATCTAGCGAGTCATGTTGTCAAGGCATGAATCGAGAGATTCTATTCGGATTTTTGTGTCAAGAGTCTAAGAACCAGGAGATCAAGACCAATGAAGAGAGTGAGAGAGAAATTTGGACCCTTAATTTATGTGAGGCGCATTGGTAAGATTGGCTAATGAGAGCTGCATGATTTAAAGTGAGTACTCTGGATCTCCTAGTCTTTGATGTGACGATCCATCCTTAATTTTATGTTTTTACAAATTTTTAAAGTGTGATTTTACGAAAATGCCCTTAGAGACGAGGGTCTTGACTTTCGTTGATCAACGTATAGTGAGGTATATGAATTAATCATTTAGCGTTTTCCTGAAGTACTCGACATTACGGACTCGTAGGCGCAAGCAGAAGAGGATTTGGAGAAGTACTTTTGTTTTAGTCACTATTTATATATTTTTATAATGTTTATATTTATTTATCATTTAGTTATTTTTTTTAAGTTGAAGAAGAAGAGAAAGAAGAAGGGGGGAATGGGAGAAGAGAAGAAAGAAGGGCTACTGCCCAATCAGAAAGATGCGGGAGGTGGGACGAATCAGGGGAGGAGAGAGGAAGCAAGAGAACGAATCAGAAATGGGAAAAGGAAGGAAAGGAGGGAAGGTGAGAAGGAGGGGAAATCAGGTTTCCTCCTTGACCCGCGCGACCCGGCCAAGCATCAAGGCCAAATTCGTTCATTTTTCTGGCAATTTCCAGTGAATTGCGTTGAACCACTACCTGGAAACACCACCCTACCCTCCCTATTCCATTTCCACCAAAATTAGAAAGAATTTGGTGGTATTTTGGAGGAAAAATGGACGGTGGTCCTTGTGGGTGTACGGTGGTAATCCGCAAATCTTGAAACTAACTCAACCAATTACCACCACCTTTAGGCTCCCCTCAACCCCAGGAGCAAAGCCCAAGCAATGTTTGAGGCGTTGGAGTGACTATGGAGGTCGAATCGAGCACACCCACATATAGGGTTTCCGACGGGTTTTAGCAAAATTGGGGCTTTTCTCGACCAAATTGGCCTTGGCCGCAGGTATAAAGTTTATTATACTCATTGAGATCTTCATTTCTGTAAAATTTGGTAATTTTTGGAAATAGTTGGATTTTCCGGCGAGTCGGGGGTGGCGGTCAGCCACCCACGGCAGCGCGTGCGGCGGTGCGTGGCTAGGGGGCCGTCGATGTTATTCTTAGGCTAAATTAGATGTCTTGAGTTTAGTTTTGGTAATTGTATAACGTAGATTGATCGTTTGGACCTAAATTCATTAAGATACATTACTTGGTAAAGATGTGAATCAACAATCCGACTGTTGGATCGTCACCAAACTTTAATATGTTATAGTACGTAATATTTGAGGACCATAGGAACTTACGGATCTGGAATCCGATATACGGATCTTCTCGAATTGGATTTGTAAGTTCATAAAATAAAATGTTAACCGCCACTTGGTTTTGGCAATTGGCGGAGATCCGACCGTTGGATCGTAATGGAACTTTAGGATGTTTTCTAGAAGTACATTTATGGATCTTTGGAAGTAAGGGATCAAAAATCCATGTTGCAGATCTTCTGAATCGAACTACGTATGGATGTGTGTTATGTAAGTTACATATTTTATTGATAAGAATTCTGAGTTGTGATTTGATAATTGTTCTTGTCACATCCTGGCCTGGGGCAGATCACTTCCCGGGCCCGCTCCACCACCGTAGCACGATATTGTCCGCTTTGGGCTTACCATTCCCTCACGGTTTTGTTTTTTGGAACTCACGAGCAACTTCCCAGTGGGTCACCCATCATGGAATTGCTCTCGTGCGCTACTCACTTAACTTCGGAGTTCCCATGGAACCCGAAGCCAGTGAGCTCCCAAAAGGCCTCGTGCTAGGTAAGGATGAGAATATGCATTTAAGGATCACTTCCCTGGGCGATGTGGGATGTCACAATCCACCCCCCTTAGGGGCTCGACGTCCTCGTCGGCACACACGCGACCAGGGTTAGGCTCTGATACCAAATTGTCACATCCCGGCCCGGGGCAGATCACTTCCCGGGCCCGCTCCATCACCGTAGCACGATATTGTCCGCTTTGGTAATTGAAATGGTTTTTAAAATGCTTTGTTTTTGCCCACTCACACTTTTTGTTTTGCGCCCCTCCAGGTTTTAATTGCTGAAAGTTCGTATTGACGAGGATTTTTGGCAAATCTCAAGATAGGTGGTTACTTTTGAGGGTATAATTCTTATCCATTCCATTGTACTTACTTATGCTCTAACGTCACGTGTGAAGTGGGTTCATTCCTACTCACCAACGCACTATGGTATTTAGGCACTCTTAGGTTTAAATTTATTCACAGTTTTCCACATCATCACACTTTATGGTTTCGTCACCTCCTAGATGTCGCCCAGCATAGCTCAATTCGGAGTCCTAATGGACATTCCGGGTCGGCGTGTGTTATTTGAGCTCTAAACACTGAGATCAGAGAGGGTCTCAATTCAACAAGGTATTTCAACATTTTCCAAGCCATGCTTTTGAGGCATGTAGATTTTTTGCCTAGGAAATTGTGTTAAATGGCTCTCAACGTAACAAAATGAGGTCCATGGGTCCAAAATGAAGGAGGAAATTGGTTTGTTGGCAATGGCTTATGTCAACGAGGATGCATTGTTCTAAAAATCCTCACCTAGAGCCGCCTAGGCGCTAAGCGGTTGACCATCGTCTTAATTAATGTCTAGGCGTTCGAAAATTTAAGAAAATGCACCTAGACCTGTTAAGCTGCCTGCCAAGATTGCCTAGCCCACCCAGACCCATCTGAATACCTGCCTAGGTTGCAACTCACTTAGATAGAAAATAGATAAGTTTCCTTTTGCATTTTATTGTTTCCAATAAATTGTAAGTGGCTTATTGAACACTTAAATAAATACACATGATATGTTTGCTTCCCATATTTTCATTATGTTTCAATACGTCATAATATATATGTCATTTTATTTTCTAGTTTATGATAAAATTATATATATTTTAAGTATAAATAGACACTTATTTACACAAAATACAATAGATTTACTTAAATCTGCCTAGTTCGCCTAGGTGCTAAGCCCCAGCTCGCCGTCCAACTAGCACCTAGTGTCTTTTAGAACCTCGTGAAGGTGTCATGCAGTAGAAAGCATGCCCTCCACTTGCATACCGCTAAGAAAAACAACTCGTTTTTCATTGCCCGTCAGTTGTTTGATTTCCAACCATCAGTTAATCTGAACAGTTAGATTTCCTTCAATGTTGGGCATGTCTCCTTCTTTGTTGTTCATATTTTCGCTCTTCTTTATCTTGCAACCTCCTCAGGTTACCCTTTGTGGAAAGAACTTTCTTTTCCAAAAATCTATGTATTGAGATGAGTACGGAGGATGGATGAGGCTTGGTGTGCGTAGACGTGATGGCTTGAAGGTTTTTTTTTATGGAGAAATGTAAGGAAATAAAAAAATTGAATAACGACATGACACTATAGGAATGGCTAGAATCTTAACAAAATTTTGTGCGGATATTATTAAAGGATAATGACATGTGGTGCAATGAGAGTAGTTGAAAATCTCTTCGAAAACCTAATGTGACAATGACACATGGATGTTCAGGCCAAAAAAATACATAAAAAATATTTTAGCCAAAATGGTCCTTGAGATTTGCATAACACGTAACTTTGGTCCCTGAGATTGAAAATCAATAGAAATGGCCCCTGAGATTATCCAGCATCCATTATTTTGGTCATTCCATTAAAAACTCCGTTAAGTGTCACGCAGCTCTTGGCCGAAAGTTTAAGCAATTTTCAAAGCTTTGTAACTCAATCGTTTCTTAACCAAATTCGACCCATAATATATCAAAATGAATATAGGAAAGTGGAGAATAAGATTATACCTATCTAGAAACCCAATGGTTCCTGGACATGGCCAGAAAATGCCTAAAAGGTGACTGATCCGCAGAAAAATTGGAAAACTCGATGGAAACTGGGTAAACTTTAAATGGTCATAACTTCTTCAATACTCAATGAAACTGAGTGATTGAAAAATGAAAATCATACTTCTTGATGGCTAACTCACCGTGGTTTGCCCGGAAAACAAATCAAAAGTGGCTATCTTGGTCTCGAGTTAGCCACTTTCGAGCTGTTTTCCGGCCAAACCACAGCTAATTAGCCGTTGAGAAAGGTATCATTCTCTTCGTCTCATTATGAAGTATGATTTTCGTTTTTGAATCACTCAATTTCGTTGAGTATTAAAGAAGTTATGAACGTTTAAGTTTATCTAGTTTCCGGCAAGTTTTCCAGTTTTTCCGTGAATCAATCACCTTTTAGGTTATTTTCTGGTCATCTCCGACAACCATTGGACTTCCAAATATGTATAATTTTAATAATAAAGAAATGTTAAAAACTAAGAAACTTCATACAGTAAAAGGTTAACCTTTATCATAAACCTAAAGTGTCCCGTTTCGGTTTGGGGCTTTGCGCTTCGTTTGAAAACATTGGACAGAAAAGAAAACGGAAGGAAAGGAAGGAAAGGAATGGCGCTTTCAGTCTCTACCCAATCATCTGCGTTGAGATCGCTGTGGACAGCTGTGGGTCGGCGGCGTTCCTACGCCAAGGTGGCATCTTCTTCCTCTTATGCGGCGGAAGGGCGGAGGGAGAAAAAACAAGTAGAAGCAGAGGCAGAAGAAGGCGTCGACGTCGACGTCGACGTCGGTGGGTTCGCAGTGAGCTCCGGAATCAGCAGACCCCTCTCTGAAATCCTCAAGCAACTCAACAAGAAAGTCCCCGATTCCCTCGTCAAAACCCGCTCTGAAAATGGCTTCAACTCCAAATACATCCCCTGGTATTCAATTAATTTCCTTTAATTTCAAATCAAATACGAATCAAATAAAAAGGGGGGTCTTATGATTCTGATTCTGGCCTGCCATTTTCATTGCAGGCACATTGTGAATCGGATTATGAACTTGCATGCTCCAGGTAGCCACCACACCAGTTGGTAGTTTTCTTTCATATTCCTAAATGTCTTCCAATTTTGTTTTGTTTACTGAAATATGATATTTGTAGAATGGTCCGGTGAGGTTCGAAGCGTCACTTACTCTGCTGATGCCAAGTCTGTATCGGTTGTTTATCGCGTCACGCTCTACGGAACTGATGCTGAGGTACAGTTTTTAAATTTCCATTTGTGTTCTTTTTTAACCTTTTAATTCGGATAGTGTTGTTGGAACTTACTGTAATTCCCAATTATTTATGTAAACATTGTAGGGATGAAATTGAATGAATGTATATTAGTATGTTTAGACACAAACTTGTATTTATTAGTTTATGCATCTGGTATCTACAAATGGATGAATGGGATGCATATCAGTTATATTTTGCAGAAACATAAACCTACTCACAGTTTAGGTAGCCACGAACTAATTAATATTTCTGTTCTTCATCAGAAAGCGTGCAGAGTCTTTCTTCGTTTCTGTTTTATTTTCAGTTGAGTACAGTCGTCCTTTGTGATTTGCAGGATCCAAGTTGTATACATCCTTTTGACCTCTTTGTTTGATTTCTTTAAGGATAATTGGGTCTCAGATATATTTTCAACACCAAAAAAAAAAAAAAAAAAAAATGTATATCAACTTTGTTCTATTAGTTGAAGTCAGGACTCCCGAAGCTTCCACAGGTTCTGTGAATTATGAAATTTGTAAACGGTTCAGTTGATGCTCCTTTACATGGGCTTCAGACATTTCTGAAAAGAATAAGAACAGAGAAAAAAAATGTGAACTTTAGCATGCATAACCAAGGGAGGATCTGACTTGTTCTCTCCAATTATTTGTTCCATGTTTCTCCAGATTTTTAGGGAGTCAATAGGCACTGCTTCAGTAGCTGACACAAGTTATGGGGATCCTGTACAGAAGGCAGAGGCAATGGCATTTCGTCGAGCTTGTGCACGCTTTGGTCTTGGACTTCATCTTTATCATGAGGACTTGTCGTAGTGGCACGTAGTGCTTGGTTCTGTGAAGTATATGCTTCTTTGCACTTTTTGGTGGATGGGTGATGCTTGATTTGGCTTCTTACTTTTGTTTTTTGGGTTGGTAGATTTTGAACAGATGCGACCCTGTCACAGTACAAGCACGTAATTAAGAAGGTAGCCTAATGTTATGTTCCCTGTTTAAGTTACTCATGGAGGATTTAATGAAAAGAACGATCTATCCTGGACTTATTTTAGTATACACCTTCCAGTGCTTCGACTTTGTGGAATGAATGTGATTCTGAATCTTGATAGGAGCCTGCTAGAAGCTGCAGTTTTGTATGTGTTTGTTGCAATGCATATGTAAGACTCTCGTAGGCTCGTAGCAAAGACTATGGTATAGGGTGCCAATGCAGCCTGGAAAGACTGCTTGGCTCCACCACATGCACCATACTACAAAGAAGGTGGAGCTGTCTGCTGCACTGAGCGAAAGTGTGGTAGAGGTCCATAAAATGCAGCAGATGAGATACTCATGCCGCAGGTGGATCCAGGAGGGTAGCCTGGGTGATTTCTGCAAAGGCAACCAGATTGCTGGCTTATATTAGCAGCTGGTTTTTCTTCTCAAATTGTGGAGACTGATTCCGAAGAGGCGCTTTAGTTAACTTAGGAAATATTTGTTAGTTTGGTACATAAAGATGGTGATTGCCTTGCCATGGAAGACCTGCTTAGGCTTTGGATGACTGAAATTCGCGGTCTAATGTCTGTCGTCTTGTTTAGGATTTATTTCATATCAGCAGCATAGCTTCTAAAACGAGTCACAACCTAGGTTCTTAGAAGGCATACCATCCCAAGATTGTTTGCCCCAGCACTGCGCCGCATCCATGGTCTTGGTTTTGATTCCCCGTCCCCAGTATCGCTTTCGCCTATGTCAAGAAAAATAATATATTTCTACGAGGACTGATGACGCTTTGCTGCCTATGGTGCTTAAAGGTAGTAAGCAAAACTACTCTCCTTTTACAACCGGAAATGTATACATTTACTTGAGAGCCCTGAGCGAAGCAGTGCGGTTGATGGGCCTGCAAATATGAGTTTTAATTTTAGAATGGGCTGCCCATGCTGTTTATCAAGCTTGCCTTCCTCACCGCAACCCCAACCAACCCCACCAAAGCAGCTGTGTTCTAACTTGATTGTTTGGACCTTTTGCCTACCTAAGGGGGTGGCTTCACTTGTGTTCCGAATACATGAGAAAATCTCTCTACAAGAACTGAACTGAACTTTAAACAATGGAAGTGGGCCCCACGCAAGTGTTTACTGAGCTGGAAGCCTGCAGGAACTCAATGGTTGTCTGTGAATCCGGGGGATAAAAGATAGAAGATAAAGCAAAGCCGTGCATGCATGCATGCAGCATGAGCTTGACTGTATATATACATGCATGAGACATTGATACAGACATGCACGCATGCATGTCAGCATCTGTATTTATGCATGCTTTATGAGTTGGTAATAATAACACACCCCCACACACTACGTGTGTACACACACACACACATAGTGGCGAAGCAAGAAATTCTTGAGGGAAAGGACAAAATTTAAAAAGTTTAGGGGGCGTTTGTTGCGCCGGACTATCTCGGACTGGATTAGCTTCAAGGACTAAGCTGGATTGACTTAGACTAGACTAAACTGGACTAACTTAGTGAAGCGTTTGGTGCAGTATTGGACTAAGAAGCTGGATAATAACAAATTCTAATATTATATTATTTAATATATAAATTATTAATATTTTATTATGATCTTATCTTTTTCTTCATTTTTTCCTACCATTTCCGTCCCACTCTTTTCCTCTTCTCTCATCGTCCCACCATCTCCCTCTTTTTTTCCTCTTAGACCTCTCAATTCATGTCTCTTTCTCATTCCTGGTCAAACTCCTTATTGATTCCAGTCTCTATTTCTCTGTCCTCCCTCCCTCTCTAGCTATGCGTTGTTCGAATGGAACCTCACGGCTCCAATTTTCCCGACGATTATATATATATATGTATATATATGTAGGATAGTTCTGTCTGCTCGATCTTGTCATTGAAAGATGACCTCGCTTATGTTGGTCATGTTTCATCTGAGTGCCTTGTCAGTAGCTTCGCTGCATTGGAAATCGTGCAATTGTTCGGACAAGAGCCTCTCAACTTCTTCCTGAATTTGTCTTTGTTGGGTAGCGGAGCTCTTGGCTACCCTCGATTGTGACCTGTTGGTCTAGGTTGCTCTTCTACATTTTTGGCTTGTCTATGCTGTGGTGGTAGTGTATGTGGTCCATTCTTGGCAGGCGAGGGAATTCTTCATAAGCTGCCTGTTGAAGTTGAGCCTGATTGAGTGACTGCTTCTCTCCATCCGTTGCATTGCCTACTCCGATATGATGTCGAGAATGCTTCTTGTGGGCCTAGTCGCAAATAAACGCTTCGTCTCAAAGGCTGCTCATGTTGATTATCGGAATATGGCCCTAACCGTGAGTGTATGCTCATTCACGGCCCTAGTCAAGAGTGCACGCTTCTCTGCGTAATTAGACAGAAGTATACGCTATCTCAGGGGCCCAATTGGGAGTGTACGTTGCCCGAACGCTAGGTTTGTGGTTGGTCGAGTGGCTATTTGCCAGGATGTTGCTAGAGAGGTTCCTCATCTGCCCTTGTCCTACTTTGGGACACCTCTTCTAGGGCATGTTGGATCTCGGTGCGTTGCAAGAGTTGATTCACCAAGGTCGTCTGTTGTGTAAGGGCGCTCGTCAACTCTATAACTTGTCGAGACAAGTGTGGTTCACCATTTGGATTGGAAGAGCTTAGAAGGAATGTGCCTCCTTGAGCAGTGGAAGGGTGGTAGACTCCGAGCGCGAGATTTAAGTTGGGAATTGTCAAATCCGCAGAGAAATGTGGTGAAAATGCCCCCAGCTCGATGGTAGGTCTGGATAGGTGAGATAATCTTGGGCTGACTTGGGCTGCTTAAGAAGCCACATGAGTAGGCTGGGCCATGAGAGTGGGCTACTCGGCATGTGGTGTATGCGAGTGTGAGGCTTGGGCTCGGCTTAGCAACGCGTTGGGTTTGGGTGGCACGGGCCGATTTGCCTTGGGCTTAGAGTGACATGGCTTGGGTCGTGGCCTTGGTGTCTTGGGCCTTGGATGGCACGACAAGCTTGGATGACACGGCTTGGGTCGTGGTGGTGGCACCATGGACCTCGCCGTGGGTGGCCACCATGATGGTTACCATGGTGGAGCCTCGTGGATCGCCGTGGTCCCATCTCTTGAACATTGGAATTTTTCATTCGTTGAAGTTTCTAAATTTCTAGCCATTATTCTTTTCTTTTACGTTTTATCAAAGAATTTTTGTAAATAAAAAATTCTGAAAATAATAACGTACGAAAAATCTATAAATGGACAAGAAAATAGAGAAAATAGAAAACCTTGGATGCGAGAGTCTTCTACGAGTGTGTGACTCAACTCTTAATGAAAGCACCAATTTGTGGATGCAAATTTCTTCCTCCTTGTTCTTGGACAAAATTGCACCTACAAAACAAATAACACCTTAGGTCAAGGCCAAAAGCCTCACGCGCCCATGATGAGGGGGGCTTTGGCTGAAGAACCTCCGATGCCAAAGTTAGAATTTTGAGAGAAAAATGTTTGGAGAATTTTGAGAATTTAGTAAGAGAGTTGGAATTGGGTTTTGGAGAGAATGAGGTAGTATTTATAGGGGTGTGGCCGGCCCCTTTGGGAGAGAAAGGACCGGCCACTTGGTTCATTTTGTGGGCTAGGTAATTGGTTTGTGTCTAATTAGGAATAATTGAATAATAAATCAATTAATTAGCTAATTAATAGAATAATTTCCTAATTGATTAGCTAATTAATATAATAAAAGGGGAATGATTTGGAAGTATCCTTGTGGAGAGGATTTGATGAGGATGGATGAAATAAGTTTTGAATTATTACTTATTTTGGGCACTTTTAACATGGTTGAGGATTGATTGCCCGCTGCTTACGTATAAGAATTTCGGTATGTCTTAAGGGTAATTTTATCTTTTTAACCTAAAAATCCACGTGTCGCTTTGTGATTATTTTTGGCTCCACGGGTTGAGCGGTGGATATGGGCATAAGGCTGGCCGTGGCATGTGGAGCAGGAAAAGTAAAAGCAAGAAATGGAATGGAATGGATGGGATCGTCACTTTCTTTGGTCAAAGCAATTGGGAGACAGCTGCCCCACTTGCCAGATAATACCACCTGCCTTCCTGCCCTTTTTACCCTATTACAAGTTTTGCTTCTTAATTCCTCACCTCTATCACACACATGCACTATATATCTTTGCCCCTGCATCTTCTGATCTTATATCAGTCGTCCAATATTCATACCTTCCTCGGTCCCCTTCATCTTAGATCCGTATTGGCATATACGTACGTACAAGAAGGCCCCTAGGGCAACCCGTACAAGCAGGAGGCTCTTTGATTTGGGAAATTTTATGTATTTTTTTTAATTTAAAGGAGGAGGTGTAAGTATTCTTTATTTTAATAAAATGACATTATACCCACTTAACTATTATACTCTGGTGGTACTTCTCTTTACTTGTAAGTAAAATGTCTTAAATGTAAATCATAAAAATGCCGAGTTCGCAACCCCACACTTCCTTAGTGTAAATATATTGTTGCATTCAAAAAATAAAATGACATGATAATTCTCATAATATACTGCAAACATAACTTAATGGTGAGGCCGTATAAAATGATTAGATTACCAAAGTCGATTGTTACACCATGAACGTTTTTAGTATGAAAGAAAGTTACTAGTATTGTCATAGAATTACCTATCACGTATCATTATTCACTTTTGGGTTCCATAGCTTCATGTTTTAAAATCCTTTTAGGAGCAAATTAAACCATCTCCACGGTTGAAGAGTTTTTAGAATCCCATACAATTTTCAACATTTTTTAGATTTACATTTGTTTTTTTGTTTTTTCAAGATTTGGTTAAGTTGCTTTGACATATAGATATAGTTACGTTAGCATTTTTTTTTTATTTTAAATTACATTTCATTATTTTTATATAATTAAAATGCTAACTTTTAGTTGATTTTTTTTTTATGTGGCTTCTTGTAAGAAAATTGTTTCTACTTGCTGATAATCGAGAAAAAATTCTCTCCGGATCTCTTCCACCAAGGTCATCGGATCAAGTGATCAGGATCCTTCAAATTTGATCTAACGACCCACCTGTTTTGACCCCTTAAAAGCTGTAATAATTT